CTGCAGTGATGAGGATAATGAGTGACATGCAGATGGCATCTTAAAGTGTAACTTACCCCAAAATCAACTTTTTTTTTAGCAAATAAACTGTCTAAATTGTGCCTTAAGGGTAATACCTTGTCTAAAATAGTTTAAATCTTCAATATTTGGTCAAAAAACGTCTTGGTGCTGCCCTCTATGGGTTTAACTGTGACTGTTATATTTGAAGTACTGTATGACATTGCTGGTACCGTGTGACGTGTCACAGTACTGTGCTCAGTATAAAAGCCTCTCTGTAGAGACACGCCCTGCAGAGATGCAGGAGTTAGCCATAGCATTGTTGACCGTAGCTGTGGTAGAAGCTACCTTCTCCTCACCCACAGAGAAAACATGGAGTCTATCAGTCATAAAACAAACTGAATTATCTTAAACATCCTCTTTATGCTTCAAGATTTTGTTTAAACAAAATACAAGATTACTTTATCACATAGTTTAGATCGGGCCAAAATACATAAACACCCTCGCGCACACAGTCCCCACGATATCGGTAAAACATGTCCACACACACACATGGCTCCACAGCTATTATTATTATTAATATTAGTGGTAGTAGTAGTAGTAGTAGTAGTAGTAGTACTGCCACAGCTTAATGTGTTCAGGAAAGACTAAAAGGTGTAGAGTTGAAGCTCAGCAGCTTCCTCCGCAGTAGGTCCTGTAACTACAGGTAAACGAGAACAAGTGTCTCGCTGCGGAGGGGTTTTTCACATCAGGACGTCCAGACACCTCTGCTGCTGGGGTGGGTTGATGCTTCTGTCCGGGAACATCCACAGGTAGTCTCCCCTCAAAGACAAAAATGCTGAGGTCTTTATAAACTTAGGAACATGTTAAAGCTGTGAGGATTRAATTAAAACGGGAACACATCAAACAGTATTTAAAATATATCCAGTTGGTTTCGGATCACCGTAGCGTTTTTTTTTATTCCTGATCTTAACTCTACGTGAAGCACCCACCTTTGATTTGTTTAAAATATATTTGACTGCAAAGAGAAGTTAATTCAGTTTGTTTTATGATGCCTCGCGCTGCAGGTGAACCGGCAGCGGAGGGGTTTTTCACATCAGGATGTCCGGACTCCTCTGCTGCTGGGGTGGGTTGACGCTTCTGTCCGGGGTGGTGTGGTATGTCGGAGGGAGTGCAGTTGGCTGTGGGGTCCGGAATGATCCGGGGGACAGAACACTTGTCAGGCCCAGACTGAGCTCTATTGTGAATTTTAATAGAAACAGGGAACCAACCAGAAATGAGAAGATATCCTTTCTGTTCTGTTTTGGACCAAAGTCATATTTTAAGTTTGTTTATTTATTTTTTTGTTTTTTTTCCTTTTGCCTGAACTTTACATTATTACATGTTGTATCAGCTAAATGTGAGTTTGCATGTATATCATGAAACTTTACTTTTTACAAAGTCATTTATTTAGAACATTCAGAAATGTTTTCATGAATGTTAGCTTGTCAAAGTAAGCTAAATCTAGCTGTCACATTGTCTCGTCTTAAAAAAAACCTTCTCCCCCCCCTCCCCCCCACTTTGTAGGCGTTTTTCAAATTTGCGTTGGGGGCGGAGTTATCCTTTCACATGGGGGTTAAGTTACACTTTAAGAATGTCCCTGAGAAGTTTCAGATTGTGCATTCTGCACACGAGCAGCAGCAGGAAAAGTTTGCCATCTGAGATCAGGTAAATAAAAGACAAAATGTTGCAGTTTTACCTGTGATGTGTTCTGCAGATGTGGCTCAGAATCTCAAGGTGTTTCTGACTGATTCCATCCGTCTCAGCAGGAAAACAGCTCTCAYTGTCCTTTTTCTCTCCTAAATGGCTCTCTGGAGGCACAGACACGCATATTTATGTCACTTTGGCCCACAATTAGACTGCACTGAAGTTTTTATTTAAGGCTAAACTTTAAGAAGTGGATGCATGCAGTACCCCAGTTTTCCTCCAGGGCAGTGAGATTGGAGAGCAGACGTTCATGGTAGAGCTTCTCCAACTGCAAGAACTGAATGGCCCACTGGTCTGAAAGCACCACCAGTTAAAGGAATAATACGCACAGCTACACATGCAATGGTATTCACAAAAGGTTTGAGTTGAGCATTCACAAATAGAAGAAAAAATGTAATAAAAGATTAGAAAGGGGTCCTTAAGAATTTTCAGGACATAAATACTTGTACTTGAATATAAAGTATATAGTGGACATACACTCACCGGCCACTTTATTAGGTACACCACGCTAGTAACGGTTTTGTGGTCATAAAGGGATGGACATGGTCAGCAACAATACTCAGGTAGGCTGTGGCGTTGCAACGATGCTCAATTGGTACCAAGGGGCCCAAAGAGTGYCAAGAAAAGATTCSCCACACCATGACACCACCACCACCAGCCTGAACCGTTGATACAAGGCAGGATAGATCCATGCTTTCATGTTGTTGACGCCAAATTCTGACCCTACCATCCGAATGTCGCAGCAGAAATCGAGACTCATCAGACCAGGCAACGTTTTTCCAATCTTCTCTTGTCCAATTTCGATGAGCTTGTGCAAATTGTAGCCTCAGTTTCCTGTTCTTAGCTGAAAGGAGTGGCACCCGGTGTGGTCTTCTGCTGCTGAAGCCCATCTGCCTCAAAGTTCGACGTACTGTGCGTTCAGAGATGCTCTTCTGCCTACCTTGGTTGTAACGGGTGGTTATTTGAGTCACTGTTGCCTTTCTTTCAGCTCGAACCAGTCTGCCCATTCTCCTCTGACCTCTGGCATCAACAAGGCATTTCTGCCCACAGGACTGCCACTCACTGGATGTTTTTTCTTTTTCGGACCATTCTCTGTAAACCCTAGAGATGGTTGTGYGTGAAAATCCCAGTAGATCAGCAGTTTCTGAAATACTCAGACCAGCCCTTCTGGCACCAACAACCATGCCACGTTCAAAGGCACTCAAATCACCTTTCTTCCCCATACTGATGCTCGGTTTGAACTGCAGGAGATTGTCTTGACCATGTCTACATGCCTAAATGCACTGAGTTGCCGCCATGTGATTGGCTGATTAGAAATTAAGTGTTAACGAGCAGTTGGACAGGTGTACCTAATAAAGTGGCCGGTGAGTGTATGTTTTACATCCTTCTTTCTCATATTTAAATCATTTAGTTGGGGTCTATATAAAGGGGAACAGAAATGTTTTGGCCTGAATTTCTCCTTATTTTAACTTTACCACCCCTTCCTTCAACGCTTTTCTGATATGTGTCTCAAAGCAGCTCAGTTTCTTTAAATTCAAATGAGACGCTTCACACCCTGCCCCCCTCCAGCTCACAAACTAAATGGACTGTACTGTCCTGTACTTGTATCAGATTTGTAGCCAAACGGCAGATATCTGAGTGGAGATTCCAGCAGGAAGAAACCTGTGCTCTGATGTGTACAGCAGCGGGTGGAGTTCCCCAAGAACTCTGTGTTGTGTCTCTCAGCYATAAAAGCTGTGTGTAAAAGAAAACATCTTGCAACAACTTGATCAGGAGTCAACTGTTCAGCTTCACTGGAGTATGATGGGCCCTTTAGTGACATCTTGTCTTTGCAAATTTTACTTCTCAGATAAAAGTCTGGTACAGTTTTCAACAAGAAAACATTTTTCCACAACGGCCTGTGTGTCTATGAACTGTTTGCATCATTTTGAGGTACTCCTTTAGTCAATCTTTCCCCAACAGAACATGTAGGATCACCTGAACTGTCAGCTCTGACTCAGTGCCAGTCCTCTGGATCTTGAAGTTTAGCTTCAACAGCTGTGGCCCAACTTCCAGCAGGAGAGAAAACACTGACTGTATAACTATAACTGTCTGTTTTGCTCTGAATCTTTACATGTTTTCAGGTCTGAGAAGAACCAACTCTACTGACATGAAACCAGCAGAGCACTGTACTGAGAACTTCATGAATCACTTGATATTTCATTCAATAATTAAAAATTTAGGCAAATATTTGTCAATCTAAGTTGTGATTAAGTTGAAGTTTTATTTATTTTTTTCACCTTTATTAAACCAGGCAAATCCCATTAAAATCACAAATCTCTTCTGCAAGGGAGACCTGGGCCTGAAGGCAACCATTATACATGWTTTTGGTCTGTGGGGGAAACCAGAGTATGCAGAGAAAACCCACACAAGCACAAGGAAACATGCAAACTCGGCACAGGAAGACCTCAGTTCTGAACTGGGGGTCAAACCCAGGATCTTCTTGCTGCGCAGCACCAGTGATAACCACAGAGCCGTCATGCTGCCAAAAAAGTTTAAATAAGATTGTCAAAATACAACAAAAAAATTGTCTTTTAAATGGAATAAAAAATAGACCATAGCCAGTTTCACAACTGTCTGTTGAGCAGGGCAGCTACAACAGCGCTGAACTTGAAGGAATAAAGCTGGATGAAGTCAGATATCTTTTCTGTCCTTTCTTCACTCTTTATTTTCCAGAATGGCATAACTGAACATCTTACATTGGCTACGTCCAAATTCAGGGGTTGCATCCTCTGAAGGCAGAATTTGTCACTGCGCCGCACCGAAGGCTGTCCAAATTTGAAGACTCCTCCTCCTCCTCCTCCGCCCACAAATGTGTCCTCCTTTTTCCCTGATTTGGGGTACGGGTCTGATGGATCCTTCTTAGCCCACCCTATCCCATTATGCCTCGCAGACCAACCAGATATTTGTTTCTGCTAGTAATTGTGGACAAAAGAGAAAGGAATACAGTTTTAAATAAAAATCTGGACATATAAAAATGAGATGTTTGAAGTGGTTAATGCTTTTGTCATTTGTATAGACGTGTTTTTAATATTATTCTTGAAAGAAATCAAACGAGCTGGTATAGCCAAGTAAACATGCACCTACGGCAGGTTTCATAGTTCTTTAAATATTGCCTTTAAGCTAATATATTGAGATTTTGCTATTTTTGATCTATTTTTGCTTTTATTTAGCATTGTCATGGTTGCTAGCTGACAGCACATATGCCGTGGTAAGTGCAGGGGTAAAGGCAGGGTCCTTCAAAGGACCGAGCCACTGAATTTGGACACAGCCAAACGGACTTACTCACTCTGTCACTCTTATTCTCAACACTGAATGGGTGGCGCAGCACCCTTATAAATAATGGCCACACAAAACTAATTACTGCACTTCTAATCACAACATTAAATGCAGTCAACAAGTTCACAACTTGAGTTCAAACAAATCAAACCTCTCAACGCGGTCCATAAAAGGTAAGAAAATCAACCTTTTTTGCATGAAGAATTTTAAAAAATGCTACAAAAAATGCTGAAAACATTTTACTTCAAATCTAAGCAGTACTATCAAAAGCACCATAACCTGCACTGACAAACAGATGTGGCGTTGAACAGATGCTTTTCTTTCTGGTTCTTTCAAAGTTCTGGTTAAAACATTATGCTGCTTGTGTAAGATGTTGGTGACGTTCTGTATAATAAATTAAATATGTACCTCACTTCTCAGGYTCCTTCTCAAATTTCTGCATTGAAATTTGCTGCTTGATGTGTTTTTTTTTATTTATTTATTTTTTCCTTCCATTGATCATTTCTCCCTTTGCATTAGGAATTATCTGGTTCTTTTCCTCCTCTTAACACATAAACACACAATCCTTTTGAAGAAAAACAGACTACCAGCTGTTGCCAGAGAAACAGCACAAACAGCCCCAGAGGAACTACAATGGCAGGCCCTTCGAGCTTTAGGCCAGAGTACAGGAAAACACCCAAAGTCTGTGGAGGAAATGAGCTAATAATAATAATATAGAGAAGAATGAATCAGTAATAGRCAGCATGGCGGCATGGTTTGAGCTGTTGCCTCACAGTGAACAGGTTGCAGGTCCGCCTCCTAAAGGTTAGGAGGATGTGGTTTACACGATCTTCCTGGACATGTGTGGGTTTTATCTCAGTACTCTATTTCCCACTCACAGACCAAAATCATGCATGTGTGTGAAGAGAGTGTGTCTGTCTAAATGTGACTATGTGTCCCTGTGGTGGACTTGTGCAAAGTGTCCCCCACCTCCCACACAGTGACTGGGGATGGACACCAGCTACCTGATGAGACCCAGAAATGARAGTGGGTAAAGAAAATGAATGGATACAGTCAGTCGTTTGTCCTTTGCTTGCTGAATACTTTTGTAACTTTCTGGTTCAACCTAACTCTTCAAACCATCAGAACGGACTCTGCCAGCATGAAAACAACAACCATGATTAAATCCTCAAATCTGCTCTGCTCTGTGACCCAGTACAGACAGTAAATCCCTCTTTGGCCAAATGAAATACAAACATTTAATTCCACAGAGTTTATATCACATTCCTACTTTTTATTTCCACACGCTGCCAGTTTGACTCAGTTATACTTCAGCTGGGGAAACAATTGACTGCAACACATCAATGCATTAAACCAAAATGATGATTTCCCAGAGCAACTGAAAGGATACAGTCCTCCTTTAGAGAGTAGGCCTCTGCAATCTGAAATAATAAATAAATAAATAAATACATTTTCAAACAAGAGCTACAGTATCTAAATAGTACACTGACAAAAAATATGTGTTGGGCAGCCTTTTATACATGAAACAATATGTTTAAGTTTATGGACGCCTTTCTTGATACTCAAGGCAGAGTGGCTAAATGCCTTGCTCCCCATGGTAACAAGACAGGCAGGTGGCCAGTTAGATGGTTAGAGTGAGAGGATAGGTTGTGGATGGGTGTACAAATGTGAAGAAGATCAGAGAGATATGGAGGAGCTTTGAAGGTAAGGAAGATTCTTTTATAATTAATGTGATGTATGATGAGAAACCAATGCGTGAGAATCTGTATTTTGTGTTCTGACGTCATGCCTGCATCTTGGGTCCARTCTTGCTGCCAACGTATCAATGAACTAACCAACATAGGACCCAGCAGGCACCAGCTTTTTGGAGGATGTTACCGCCAAAGAGGGGGACCTTGTCCCCAAGAGGACCAGCGCCTTCATTGAGTGAGTCATATATGTACAGCAAATCTCCTGTTTTGACTAAAAATGTGATCACTTTAAAGGAACAATAAAACACTTTCCTATGCCCCATTTGGCAACCTTGCCTGATACATTATTGCAGTGACTCCATGTAAATGGGTGATTTTTTTTGTGTATTCACCCCAGTAAACATTAGCATTTTCAGAGATCGGTCTCGTGTAAACAGGGCCTTACTGTCTGTTTGCTGTGGGTCGCAGTTGACTTTCCTTCTCTCTCTCTCTCTCTCTCTCTCTCTCTCTCTCTCTCTCTCTCTCTCTCTCTCTCTCTCTC